GGTCACCTTCAATTTTTTGCAAATACACCTATAATTTTTTTACGCCTATCTGTTAAGGGATTTCAAGACGAATTCGGTAAGTGTCATAACATAACATGTGTTAGGCTTAAGAAAAATTATAGGTGTATTTGCAAAAAATTGAAGGTCACCTTGAAAAATCGTGAAAAAAGAGTTGAAAAAAAATTGCTATGATCACGTTAAAACTCTCTTGAAACCATGCTATACCTGATAAAAACATTTTCGATCGGGCTGCTAATAACAGTGTAATCTCTACTGATCACGATTCGTGGTTCACCCTGTATATGGAATAAAATATTCATTTTAAATAAAACCATTAATTTTGTAAGGATCTTTATATTAAAAAATATTTTATATTTTCATAAAATGAAACAAAGATCCTTACAAAAAAACAACCCAGAAACGGCCCTGGCCCCATGAATAATTCGGGGAAACTTGCCCGTTCGTTGAGCTTCCCAGAGCTATTTACATTTACACGATCGGTTAATATACTTGAACGTTCACGCGTGATTTCCGATCGCCCGCGATGATTCTCTACTCTCACTATTATCTAAAGGCGAATTTACAGTTCTACACTTTGGACGTGCATCGCGGGTGATTGATTCACAATCGATTCGATTCAACGAAAGTAGAGATTAGGACACTACTTTGTTCAACGATTTGGATGAAATACAGATGAAAAGAATCGTTAACCCTTTCGATACCATGGACGACTAAAGTTGTCTGCCAGGAAGCAAGGAAATACCATGTAAGTTGAACAGTTCTTAACCCTTTGATGCCCAGACCCTTAAATCGTTGTTTGAAAATTATGAGACTGATATAGGGTGGATGCACCAGTAAACGAATACGTACCAGTGACTGAACATTATATATAAAAACGATTAAATTAAGTTATTAAAATAAATAAACGATTAAATATTGAGTTTTTTCAATTGCTTGTTTCATATTGAAACAATTTTCACACACATTGGTTAGAAATGTTCATTTAGTTAGTATTATTCATTCACTGGTAAAAGCATTTTTACTTAATTTAATTAATTATATTTATCCAATATTTCAAATTGAAATTTATACAATTATAAAAAAGTATCGATATTGAAAAATCTAATTGTCACGTGGAAAACATTTATTAATATTACATATTATCATTTAAAATTCAACTGAAGTAGTTGCAAAATCACTTAAATGTTCATTTATTGATGCCTTTACCCTATATGTATTATGCTGTACCTTGTTATTATGAAGTTGAAAATATCGAAATTAAATCAACCAACCTTTCTCTATTTTTTTTTTTTACTTAACTTTTACCCTTTTAACGTTCAAACAACTCTTCCACGGAAAAGAATTTTTTCTCGCAATTAGTGAACTCAAAAATGGCCCTTCAAAAACGACCAAACCTCTGGAAATACGATTTTCTACATGTGACTGTATATGACACACTGGCCGTTAAAGGGTTAAACTATTAAAATAGATTCAATATAAAATTTTATTGCATTTAAGATTTTAATGGACGTTTGTTTTATTATGTACAGACTATTTAAAATTTAATACATACGGAAGCATTGTCAACTTTTCTATTTCGTCAAAGTACGCGTGTGGTCCATACAGCCGTATCGTGTGATACATTTCACGGCACACGTGGCCGTATTCAAAGGGTTACGCCGAATTTGCACCTTTTCACTTTGAATGATCATACATATTACGAACGATTCATCGGAAAAAAATTGTTTTCATCCGCGTTTCATTGAAAGTGAACATCCGAAGTCATCAGAGAACAAAGTAGAGCTAATCTCTACCTTTGATGAATTAAATGCATGATTCATTTGTGGTGACAGGGTACTGATAAGTATAAACTTATATTTTATAATGTGCATGCATGCTGTTACAAGTACAGTTTATACTGAATGCGTATTTGGACGAAACCTAGGGAAATAAATTCAATCACTGAACTGGTGTAAATATGTACTCCGACTTTCATATTTCCCATTCACTGTGAAAAAATCATCCGCGATGATCTTCCAAATGAAAAGGTGTAAATTCGGCTAAAAGACTGCTTTTATCTGCATTTTATCCAAAGTGAACAAAGTAGGGCTAGTCTTTACTTTTGACGAATTGAACTTTGATTGTGGATGAATCATCCATGATGCACATCCAAAATGAGTACGTGTAAATTCGCCTTTAATCCTATTCTATTATTCCCTTACTACCTGTTCCTTTCACTATCTCTTCCAATCTCATGTTTTTATCGTCCATTATCCAACAATCTTCTACCCAATGCTTTAAATTCCCTAACTCTTTCTTACATAGTACACTATAAATATATAATTATAGTAGAGTAACAATGAAAGTAATGTGTGTTCAAGTTTACGTGTAAATACTTATATCGTTAATAACAAAAACCTAAACATTCATAGCCTATCATATTGTCCCAAGAGTAAAGACTGTGGTGTTCAACGTTATTGGTCACTTTATTGTGATTTTCGTGAATCTTTTAATTTTGAGAAGTTTCACCAAAAATTTCCATGAACAATTCCATCTTCAACAAATAAAATAATTGACATCTACAAACGTAGCCTATCGTGATACTGTCACAAGAGTAAAAACTGTGGTGTTCACCATTATTGGTCACTTTATTGTGATTTTCGTGAATCTTTTAACTGTAAGAAATTTCACCAAAAATTTCCGTAAACAACTTCATCTTCAATAAATAAAACAATTGACATCTTCAAACGTAGCCTATCGTGATAGTGTCACAAGAGTAAAGACTGTGGCGTTCAACGTTATTAGTCACCTTATTGTGATTTTCGTGAATCTTGTAACTTTGAGAAATTTCACCAAAAATTTCCATAAATAATTCCATCTTCAATAAATAAAATAATTGACATCTTCAAACATACCCTATCGTGTTACTGTCTCAAAAGTAAAGACTGTGGTGTTCAACGTTATTGGTCACCTTATTGTGATTTTTGTGAATTTTTTAACTGTGACAAATTTCACGCGAATTTTCTACGAACAATTTCATTTTCTTGGAAAAACCGACCATGAGATCGCGGTGTTTACCGAAGTCGTTAGCTGCCGAATGTGATTAACGTTTGCCGTATGGTCCGACTGGAGGTTTCCGTAGTTAGTTCACTTCCGCGAATCGTACGTTAACCTGTTTATTCGGCGACTGTAACATCATACGGTAATTAATTATTTTCGTAAATGTGGATGACTCGATCGAAGTAAGGTGAACGAACCCGACACGTCGATAAACTTATAGAATTGTGGACGATGTCAGTTTTAACGTTAGAACCTCTAACGGTCGTTTATACTTCCGCGAACGAAGTAGGTATACGTAAAAAATTCGTTACGGCACATTTTATGTTATTATTACATTTTACGCTATATAGTAAATTTTATGTACTAATTATAAGAATACGTGTAGTAATACATGCATTGGAATATAAATAAGGCATAAAATCTATGTGATAAACAATTCTTAAATTCGAATCATTAATACTCTTTAACAATGTACATTCTGAAATGTTTATCAATAGGGATATGTAGTGCAATAACTAAGCTTTCGAATGATATATCAGTAATTGGAAATAATAATGTACGTAAATGAAAGCTTGAGGAAATCAACGAAAATTTAATCTCATAGAAGTATTCTAATTCGTACAATTTAAAGGGTCACAGGAAATTTACAAATATTTTGATTCCACCAGGATTCAACTGGTACGAGTACGAATACTCTTGTGAATTTCATTTATATTACTATATTACTATATATTACTATGAATTGTTATTTTTCAACAAACAACGCATCATTCGAAAGCTTAGTTATTACACTACATATTCCTATTGATAAACATTTCATATATATGACAAAAGTATTCAAACACCTTTTAAAACAGAACAACTTTTTTAAAATTGGTTCAAATGACTTGAGTTTCTTTGTGAACTTAGGGACATTAGTTTACTGACGTGTAAAAGAAAATTGAAAAAGTTGCAATTTGTCGGATCACGAAGAAAATAGTAAAGGTTGCTTTTTACGACTTTTTTTATTTAAGACTGTAATATTTTCTTTTAATATGAAGTGACCAAACAATTTTTAATAAAACGGCCGCCATGTAGAGCAAACATTCATTAAATTTGCGACTTCTTCAGGCGATAAAAAACAAACTATTGCAGATACCGACACACTAGTACTTCACAAGATAAAGAGACGTCTATATTATATGTATGTCAAAGTTGAAGTAGATTAGTTAACTCATCATCGAAACATCGTGACAGTCAATTTGGAAAACAAAGTTCCAAGAAAAACGGCTTTACTCGTGCAGCGGTACATCGTTCTTTTAAAATCGTTCTAACTTCGTCATATCAATGAATTAAAGCATATCACATTCGGAACACATTACCAAGTTGTCATACTTAAAAAAATTACAATAACAAAAAAAAATCGATCTTTCAACTCCTCCGAATGGGAAAACCCTCTTAAACGAAAATTATATTGAAAAATTACACCGCGATATGGATAAAAATGAATAAAATAAACAATTTATTACACAATTCCGAGAACGTTGAAAACACCCCTGGTAGTTTACAAACATTCGCAAAGAGAGAGAGTGAGGGAGACAGGCGAGAGTGCATTCGGTGCATCCATCCGCGTGCGCGAGTGGTATGAAAGAGGGTGGCTCGATTCGCGGCGGGCCGTTTTGTTATGTAGAACATTTCATTCGTAATTCCGGGAGTTCGCCGTTGCCAAGTTGGCAACTGAGCCGATCGATAAACTCAGATTATTCTGGCTGGCTACGTTCCCCTGTTCGCCCTACGCGCGCGTGTGTTATGCACACACCACGTACACCAAATGCAGAAAGGCAGAGACCCCTACGATGAAGTTTTTCGCGTGTATACACACATATATACAGACTAGGAATTCATGCAACGCCGCCGGTTTTTGCATTCTTCATGAACTTAACCGTATGCACTTACCGGTTTTCACGAATTCCCCGTTCTTGTGTTCCCTCCGTCACACGGCCGTATATGTATATATGCACCTACTTGCCGGAAGTGACGCGCTGCCAGAGATCCAGTCGATATACCCGGTCTGCGAACAAGAAATAGGACAGGAACCCGATGAGTTTATTGGCGAATTTCATTTTTACTTTCGTTTCGCAGGAAATCGATCAAACACTTTCGCATTGCGAAACAATATTGTTATGGGGTAACGACAACTTAAACTTGTATGTAACCTTCGACATAAATTTTGAACTTCTTTTGTTACTAAAAAAAGAAAACTGTACGAATCAAAAATTCGTTTTGTCAAGTATTAGATTTTAGTTTTAAGAATATTACCACAAAGTTTTGTCTGAATCGATCGATTTATCTTTTAGATGTACAGTGGACTCTAACTATATTGCCACTAAACATATTGCCACGCGCGGCACTTCCCCTTCACACGTACTTCCGAGCACACAAATTCGCTCTCCCACCGCGTTCCGTACGCCGGCGCACCAGCACGATCTAGGTTTTGCGCAGGCGCTGAGGTAGAAGTTACGACGATAGAATTTACCATGAGCTCTGAACTCCTTGCCATTTTACTCCCCTACAGTCCTGACCATGGCAATATACAGACTTCTCTCGATTATCGTCTGGCTTCTTCTACACGATTATTGTCTAGGCGTTTTCCCCACCACTGGGAGGATGGGGGGTTTATTGCCCCTCTGTTTTTGTTGCCAAGACTTGAGCTTTGGGAAAAAAACGATTTTACAAGAGTCTGGAGCATTTCTCCCTGTAAGAATATTGTCTCGGCGCGGACTCGAGTTCGGGACGATAATCGAGAGGTGTCTGTAGTTAAGAGTCCACTGTATATAGCATTCCATTTAAAATTACTCTTGGATGACATCTTCAATCATAACATCGACAAATCTTTTGTTTCTCTAAATTCTTTTTACTCGAGAAATATTTTTTTTCTCATCCTATTGGCTACCATTAACCCTTACGCTACGGCAAACTTTGAGAGATATTGTGCGTGACGTATGGTAGAAGTTTTGCCGCGATGTACGCCATGAACCACGGAAATCTTCGTTAGTGTACATTTTTCTGAAATTATACGGAAATCGTCAAAACACTGGATCTTACTATATTAAACTCATATCATTTATTTATCGATGAGCGTCTATTTAGATTTTAGAGCGCCTGTAGGCACTAACTGTTTGTAACGAACTATGTGAAGTGAACGCCTATAGGCGTCAACAGTACTAAAAGGGTAAAAAATACAAAATTATTAAATTAAAAGATAAAGAAACAATCTGCTGCTGATGTGTAAAATTTCCAAAAAAGAAATTGCGTATTCAGGGTCCGTGTCTTTAAGCATTAGGTGATCATAGATCAGTGTTAAAAAAATCGAAATTGTGGAATGACCTCTTGTGGGTAAGACTTACATAATGGATGTTCGTCAAGTGATACACGCCGATTTTCTAGTAACTTTGCGCAATTGTTTATGGGACGAACCTAAGAATTTTGCCGTATTTGGTCGATGATACTTTTAGACTTGAAGAGAGGAAATGACCCTTTTTATCTGAAGCGTCCCTTTTATTTATTCGACTGAAATTCGTAAACTAAAAATCGACGTGTATCATTTCGCAAACATCCCTTGTTGGAAATGTTTCAGAGTCTCCGACGAACCGACACGACACGGATTGGGTTATACTTCAATTATAACTCATTAGAGCGAAAGTTTTTCATTCAAGAGAAATCCACCTGAATCAAAACACTCGTCAACAAGTTACAACCTTAATGTAATTAAAATAAATAACGTTTATTATGTAACAACCTAGTATTAAAGAAAGTAAAACGTGGATTATGCAAGAAAGAATGATATATTATGGCAAACGATATGATATTTTTATTGAAAATGTGTTTTGTATAATTTTTTTCTTTAAGAATTTAAAGCGGTTAGTGTTCTATAAAATTACTAGCGATCTCTTTGCCTGACTTCCTAATTACTTGGAGTCATTACTCAATTACTAATTAGGTAAAGATACAAATCACTAATTAGGGGATCAAGCAAATGTATTTACGGAAAGCATAGAATAAATGAAGATAATACTCAAATGCTTCGTTAGCGACGCAAAATCACTTAAATTATATAATAAGCGAACTCTTATTAATTACGGTTCATTGTTGTTGAACAATCTAGAGCATCTGTCTAATTAGCAGCTTCAGTTAATCCAGAAATTGTTAAAACCAATTTCTCGACCGATTCAGCTGCAATCATTCTTTTATCTCTTCCACGACTTCTTTGTTAACTATGAACGTTTTTTAACTCATCAAGTCAGTGTTCAAATCATATAAAATGTTGATATTAAAATCTTCAGTAGTACTAATAGTTATTCAGATCCTAAAGATACTAGTGCATTATAATTTTCCAGAATTTATATTTGCCGCATCGATCATTTATTTAGCGAGCAGTATCGATAATTATGGAACCACTTCTTTTATTTAACCCATAACAGAGTGTTTGAATAGTAGAAAATGTCGACATTAAAATATTCAACGAATCTAATAATTATTTAGATACATACTAAAGATACCATTATATTATAAATTTCCAGAATTTATATTCGACGTATCGATCATTTATTAAGCGAGAAATATCGATAATTATGGAACCACTTCCTTTATTTAACCCATGACAGAGTGTTTATATACTATAAAATTTCGATAATAAAATATTCAACGAATCTAATAGCTTTTTAGATACATACTAAAGATACCATTACATTAGAAATTTCCAGAATTTATATACGACGTATCGATCATTTATTAAGCGAGTCAAGTCTTCCCACAAGTTCAGAGATTAACATCGAAATGGCAAATAACAGGAGCATTCTGCTCCACGAGCTGAGTTTAACACTAGGAACTACCAAACCAGTCAAAATAACTGGTCGATACACTCTTACAACGACGATTGAAACGTTATGACAATACATTTTCTCAGATCTTTTGCCCCTTTTATTACGAGATGAGAGTGAAGAAATTACTGAATTTCTAAATTTCTAAATTTTCAAAAGTTTTCCTCGTTTATCCAGCGGTCGAAACAAATATGCGTTTAGCGTCTGTAGTTCTGGTGCTAAGGTTTAAACTCTAAACCTTGTAGAATTTGTTCATTTTGCCGATCGTCGTTTATGACTATGTAGCTAACTCGTTTCGCCAGCTCAAGACGCAGATCCCAGCGAACCGATGCATCCGTTAGTTCGCGTTTCATTTACAAATCGTCGCGACACCGCGGCTACAAAAACGTATGTACAGTTGCGTCGTGAATTATCTCATTCAACCGAACGACCCGTTCGCGAATAAAAATACACGTTGATTTGTACTTGGATTGCTTGGGGGCAAGATACAACAACCGTGCTGAAGTATGTAAATCCAATATGCTTGGACAGGGCCGGTGATAGGCTGTTAGCTGCCTGTGTGCTAGAGATATTTTTCCGTCCTCGTAAATGCTGATTGCGATTAGATTCATAATCTAACCCAACTTATAAGAGCCTGTTTATATGTTTTCCTGACAGTTCCATATACATAGTTGACAGGGGTTAAAAATCCGTATAAATATTTGATATATTTATTTGGATTTTATTCTACAAAAAAAAATTATATCAGAAATAATATAATCTACTCGTAAAATTAGAAATACTCTTCTTGCTTTCTTATAATTCTAAAGTTTCACACAATTCCTTTTCTATAGCTAACAATCTTAGATTGTTAAATGTTTCTTGAGTCACTGACGTTTTTAAATATGTTTTTATAAGTTTCAGTTTCCAAAAGCTCCTTTCCCTTGATGATATATTAATTGGTAGTGTGAGAAAAATTCTCGAAGCTATAAATAAATTAGAAAATGATCTTGCAAAGTGCACTATCGGCTGCCCTAGGAATTTCGCCGCCTGGTGCATGCATGCATTGCACACTAGAGTTGGGCACAATTATATTCGTGAACAGTTTATTTAAATGAAATAATTGTTTGCCAAGTGTCTACTCATTCGAGAAGAAGTATTATGTTATTATAAAAATTGGAATTTCCACGGTTATACAATTAAAAATAGCGAAGTACTTTTTTTATCTTTTATTCCTTATTCGAAATTCTTTATCTAGATAACGAATTTGTCCATCTCTGCTGCACACCTACTGGAATCGATTCTGTGCTTGGAAAATCTAGGTAGAGGAAAAGAAACTGGACGAACGTAGATCGTTTTTTGCTTCGAGACATTTTTATGTTTTCCTTGAGAAATATCAGAAAAAGACAGCAGAAAAAAGCCAATCGAGACGACGAACGCACGGGAGAATTATAGATAAGAAACGAAAGCAATTTGTAATCATGATACAGATTCAAACACGGCAAACATATATAATTATTCCTATTTCCAAGCTGTTCTTATGGTTTCCTTGGAAAATATCGAAAAACACGAGTGAAAAATCTATCGAATCGAACACGTGGAAAATATACAGTGAGAGAAAAAGTATTTATAGTAATTAGTAATTGACAATACTGTCTTTTTGTATACTACATACATGTACTATGTTAACCTTTTGACTGTGAACTACTCTGAAGTTGTGTACGATGTTACGATGTTCTTTGTTAATAATGTAAAAAACACCGAAATGTTAGTATAAATTTTATAAAATGTAACAACTGCAGTTATCACAGAAGAAGCGCACGGCGGATGCAAAGCAACGGTAGATACAATAATAGTCTTTTCGGAATCTCTTGTTACAACGAATGAAGAAACCTAAGTGCGTTGTTTACAGTCAAAGAATTGAAAATTATTTTCTTCCCGTTATTCTGTAATTATTCGGTATTCTATCAATAAAATATTCTGATGCACATAATTAGGAACATGTTGTCGCCACTGAAAACAGTATTATTAATACTAGAATTACCATCCATGAATGTATACTAAATTAAATTTTATAATACATTAATATATATAATATATAACACAGTATACCACATTATCGTATTCCTAATATAAAGTATATAATGATTTAAAGGTCACCATAAATACCGACAAAAGCACTTGAACAATTTCAATAGTTATAAAATAAGAA